TTGGCCAGTGGGACACCAGTCCCGTGTCCCCAAACTTATCTTTGCGCACCTTGGAGAGGCTTTTTCTTCCGCACTCCTTTTCAAAAACGGTTACCACGGCAATGGATATGCTGGCTCGTCTAATCTCTCAGGGTCGTGTCCGTTGCCAACAACTCACCGGAGCGGATCCTTCTGTCCTTCATATTCCTGTGACACGCACTGATTTTGATTTTTGGCTGTCTCAAAGCCTTAGTTTACAGATTGCGCTGGCCGATTACTTGGGGCGGATTGAGTACACCTTGCCATGCCATCGGCTATTACAATCTTTGCCACAACTGCCTCTGCAGCCCCGGACCATGCTTTCTCACATCCCCCTCCCTGGTGCACGCACTGTATTTGTTGATGGCTCAGGGAACACAGGCAAGGCCGTAGTTGTGTGGAGGGACGGCGATGATGCCCCCTGGAACTCAGACGTTTTCCGTGTGCAAGGCTCAACCCAAATTGTTGAGCTCGCCACGGCTGTGCATGCTTTGAACTATTTTCGGAGGAACAGTTAAATCCCCGGCGCAGTATGCAGTTTGGGACACCGAGTATCGTGACGGTGTTACGTCGCAAGTTATGGATAATATTACCAATGGGGTAAATGTTGGCATAGATGAAATTATAGGGCAGGGCCAATATGCTACTCCCCAGGCTCAGGCTCAGATGAATCGCTTGGTATTTACGCAAGCCACATCGTTGACCCTTCGAGCCTTACGACAGGTCCCTGATGCGGGCCGAAGGGATACATCTTTTGCTACGGTGTGCCAAGGCCCCCAGGAACCCTATGTGTCATTTTTGGATAGGCTCCAAACCGCCATACAACGACAAGTAGACTCAGAGGAGGCTCAGCACTTGTTGCTGTTTCAATTGGCTATTGAAAACGCTAATATAGACTGCAGGAAGGCTTTGGACCCCCTGTGTAACAAGGCGAAAACTCTTTCAGAACTGATCAAGGCATGTCAAAATGTTGGGTCTGAACAACATAAAGCTGAAGTGTTAGCATCGGCGCTGGCACAGCAGCAGAAAAGGCTCGTGATGTTGTTCGGCATTGGTTACATTGTTTTGCTGTTATGGGTGTTCCAGTTTCTGTTAAAACTGATAATGGTCCCGCTTATATCTCCCACAAAGTTCAGTCCTTTTTGCAGGATTGGGGTGTAAGCCATACCACAGGCATTCCACACTCCCCTACAGGCCAGGCGATTGTTGAACGCACGCACCACACTCTCAAGACACTTCTTGATAAACAAAAAAGGGGGAATCCAGTGGGAATGACCCCACAGGAGCATTTGGACAAAGCTATGTACGTGTTAAACTTTTTAAATCTTTCTAATTTGTCTTTCACGGCAGCACAGCGCTACTTTGAGCGAGACTCTGCGTGGCCGGAGCGGCCACAGGTTTACTACAGACACCTGGAATCCGGACAGTGGCAAGGTCCAGTTCCATTAATCACGTGGGGACGTGGGTATGCATGTGTTTCTCTTCTCTCAGGTCCCTATTGGCTTCCTGTGCGATTTGTTAATCCAGCCAGGATTGGTACGCCATCGACGCAAGAGATTCAACTCGAGAATGAAGGGACCACTGCCGATCAGTAGCGACAAATCCATAACGTCACTGCTGCATTTTTGTGGTTCCTGTGGAGCGGTTTTTGTGTACATACTGTGACAGCACATTTGTATTGGGCGCAAATCATTGATCCCCCCGTATTCAGGCCTGTGACGTGGTGGGATCCCTCACCGCCCATCAGTAACAATGGTACCGATTGGATGGGAGGGGTGTGGATACCCCCTACAGTGGAACAGGAAACCAAGGTCGTTAATGTTACCAATGTCACCTTTGTCACTGACCTCCCACCGCTTTGCTTTTCTACCCTTTATGACTCAGGTTGTGTACCCGTGCAGCCACAGTTGCACCTAGTGGCGCGGGAGCACGACGGAAGGGTTAACTATACCTTACTGAGCATTCCCGGGATGCACGGAAGCAGTAATGACTCTTGGGAGCCATATGCCCCTGATTTGCCCCGCTGCATGATAAAAAGGATATCAGCAGACGCGGCACCGGTTTGGCAGGCATGTCATGGACGCAGCCCCCTGGTACTCCAGGGCGAATTCGGCGTGGTTGTGGATTGGGGCCCTCACGGTATGCTGTGGGATAAAGTGGGCAATCGCACTGTCCCCTTCGGCCGGTATAATCATAGCCTTTCGTGGCACGGGGGAGGCTCTGCCGGTCCTGTGTTACAATTTATTACTAATGGGGATAACGCCACGGCCTCCACGTTACATAAGGGGGTGTGGCGGATAGGGTTAGCATTTATGGGTTATAATTTAGGGAGTTTGATTTTAGAGAATTATACATCTAACTATATTAAGCAGCAAGATAATAGTGTTATGGTTTGTACTTCGCATCCATATGTTTTTGCCAAGGCACAAAATGCAAGTTTTAAGAGAGGTAAATTTTCCCATTCTTGTTATTCTGTTATGTTGTCTGAGGTGCGATATAAGACCTGCATTTCCATGAGTGATAAAGTAACCTTTGTGTTCCCTCTTCGATAACGCCCTGAGTTATGGATTCCTGTTAATCTCACACGAGACTGGGAAGGAGATAGTGGCTTTGGCCATCTTACAAGGTTGCTGCAGGAGGAGATTACTAACACTCGTAGACGTACGAAGCGATTTTTGGGGTGGCTGATTTTTGCTCTTGTGTCGGCAATTATTATTCTTGCTTCTGCCACTGCTGCTATTGCCTCTTTAACTCAGTTGGTTAAGACTGCAAAAATGGTAGGGGAAACTCTAATAAACGTTACGTGGGAGTTCCAAACGCAGGAGACCATTGACGAAGAGATATTGGCGCGGCCTGAGGCCCTAGAAGCCGCAGTCATTTGGCTTGGTGATAGGCACGCAGCCTTAAAGACTAGGTTGTCTCTGCATTGTGATTGGGAGCACATTGCTGGAGGTCTCTGTGTGACATCCCTCCCCTGGAATTCATCAGTTCATGATTGGAACCTTGTTAAACACCATTTACAGGGTGCCTTTGATGTTTCTTTACGTTCTCATGTTAATTCTTTGCATGCTCAGTTAAAGAACCAAATTCAGCAATTGCAAGAATTAACCACACAAAAGGTTTTTGATACTCTGTAATCTGATTTATCTTGGCTTAATCCTACTACGTGGTTTTCTGGATTAAATTTGCGCATGCGGGTGTTTATTGGACTTGCAAGTGGGCTTCTTATTGTGCTTTTTATAATTCTTTCTTTACTTTTCTCTTGTATTCGTTGTGCTCAGCAAGTTGAGGCTCGTGTAATGACAATGTTACTTATTAATGGTATTGCTTTGTATAAAAGAGGGGGAGATGTAGAGAATCAACAAGTATAGTGCTTTGGCCACGTGACAGGGCATCCCAAGGACAAAACCAAGAAAAGCTGCAGACCTTGGAGGACGATCCGAGAGTCAGCGGGAACGCGTGTAATCAAGAGTCCTGAGCCAACAATAACAACATCTGCCTGAGTCAACGACCTTCGAGAATTGTGGACTTTTGGGAAGTTGAGAGGGTATAAAGATAGTTGTAATCTTGCAAAAAAATGATTTTGTGCTTGCACCAGCCAGAGTCCGTGCCTTCATACACCACATGTAACTATTGCTAAACCTTTAAAATATGTAATTTAAAAATGTACCTGAAGCATGTAAAAAATTCAGCTTTACACACAAGTCCGTACTGCATTTGGTACTGGGAAAAGTGATTTAAATAGTCTCTGTACAAGTCATGTCTCTGTAACTACTAGCATTCTTACTAACATTTGAAGGTTTTCCTCAGTCAAACTTTAGCTAAGTCCTAAATGTTGGCTAGATTATTATTCAGCACTAACAAAAAGAACCATGAAATACAAAAATACAGTTTTTCAAATTGTAACAACTTTTGATATATTAAAATTGATCACCAAATGTACTATATTATGCCTTTTAATGAGATGGAAAGACAGTTTCCCTGTTAATTTTTTTGAGATGTTGAAAATTTCCCCATATAGAATTGTGATTAATAGTTGAAATCTCTTAAAAAAAAAATCACGAACCAAAAATGTGGAGGGGGTGAAGTTAAGGTCATGTCAATCACAAAGCTTTATTGCAAAAACTTTGAAATGTTTTGAGTTAATTTTCTATTTTTTAACTATAAAATTAATTGAAAATTAAAAAGTGGACACCCACAATAGAATTCTTTATTTAGAACATGCCAAAATGGAATTTTTCAATCATTTTGAAAGTTTGCATTTTTTAAAGAGGAAATTTTTTAAATAATTTTTTCCCACTAAAAGTTTTCGTTTAATAAACTGCTATTTTCCAGTGAATAAATGATTTGTTCAATAATTCTTGACCAACTAGTTCATAATAAGTACATCAGTTTAAACCTGCCAGGATTAGAAAGATACTAGCTTTGTCACAAGTTAAGTGTCATTTAAATAGGTATGAAAAAAGTAGTCTATAAATTATTACCTAAAGTTTTGTTCACATATGTTTAAAATTAAAATGATGGCAGAAAGTATTACATTCAGAGCAACCAGGTTTTTAAGTAATTTTGGGAATCTTGTTCGACAAGATGTTTGATATAAAGATCTTGAGATATTTCGTAACAACAAATTTAGAGGCCTACAGCAGAGTTCTTCAGCTGCCTACAGGAGTACAGCAGTCACAAAAGAAACTATCTATTCTTATTCCTATTTTTTATTTATAGCAAGGTAGTACCCCAGAAATCACCAATCAGGGAGCAAGGCTCACTGCAATAGATGTTATACAATGAAAACATGGCTGTGTCCCAAAGAGCTTAGAATCTAAGCATCTGTCCTCCTGGCCGAAAGTAATAAAAACCTAAAGTAGGAAAAAACGTGAAAGGCTATACAGCAGCCAGGAGAAATGTCAAATGTTAATATGAATAAATCACACAACAAGCTACATTTTAGATGAGATATAATTAATTAAAAATAAGTAAAATACCTTTTATTTGATGAGTAGCCCACAGCTCAGAAATGAAGGTTTATTATTCAATCTTCAGCATCTCATATGAGGATATCAGAGGGAAAGGCTCACAAATTTTCACTGAAACAGAATAATACTGCTTTAAATACGCCTATCAGATATCATCTTGCCAACATGATACAAAAGTGAAAAACAGCAATATGACTTGGAAAGATAAATGTTGAGATGTTTACTCGTAGTAAAAATACATACCAAGTTCTTATAGTAAAAGCACGTTACTTTTTAAAAAAAGAAATAGCTGCCCAGAATGGCAACTTCAAGTAGAAACAAATGGGGATGTTTCCAGGAATGTAAGTAGTTCCTGACCTCATATCACATTCCGACTAGGAAAACTGGTTAGGCAATCAGCAATTATAAAACCGTTAAGGAAAAATTGTCATAGAAAGGATGATTATGATTGGGGTGAAAGTAACTTAAATTTCTTCTAGTTCATGTCATATTGTAAACCCCCTTTTGTTTCTAATGAATATAAAATACAAATATGTAATTAAAACAATAAATCTGCTTTTCTGTAATTAACACAGTTTTATTCCTATTAGGCTTTTTTACAAAAGTTTTTTTGTGGCGTATTAAATGAAACCCTGTGATGTAAAGCTCAGGGAAAGGGCTTGAGGTACGTAGGACAGGACAGGGGGTTGGTTGGGTATGGAAGGGGGAGGCTCGAGGCAGTAGGCTGGGGTAGAGGTATAGGGCCTCAGAGGCAGTTAGAGTGTAGAAGGGGGCTCGGGACTGTTGCAGAAGATTGGGGTTTGGAGTCATAAGAACAGCCATACTGAGTCAGCCCAAAGGTCCATGTAATCCAGTAGTCTGTTTTCTGACAATGGCCAATTCTGAGTGCCAAGGAATGAATAGAACGGGTAATCATCAAATGATTCATCCCATCGCCCATTCCCAGTTTCTGGCAAAGAGAGGCTAGGGACACAATCCTGCCCATCCGGGATAACTACTGAGGGACTTGTCCCCTATGAATTTTACCTGGCTCTTTTTTGAATCCTGTTGCAGTCTTGGCCTTCACATCATCCTTTGGCAAGGTACATTGTGTGACAAAGTACTTTATTTTGTCTGTCTGAAACATGCTATCATGGGGGGGATCCTTAAGGAATCCATTTTGAGACACTTGGAAGAGGAAAAAGTGATCAAGAATAGTCAGCATGGATTCACAAAGGGAAAGTTGTGCCTGACCAATCTGATTAGCTTCTATGATGAGGTAACTGGCTCTGTAGACATGGGAAAGTAAGTGGATGTGATATACCTTGACTTTAGCAAAGCTTTTGATACGGTCTCCCACAATATTCTTGCCAGCAAGTTAAGGAAATGTGGATTGGATAAATGGACAGTAAGATGAATAGAAAGCTGGCTAGAAGGTTGGGCCCAGTGGGTAGTTATCAATGGCTCGATGTCAGATGGCAGTTGGTTTCTAGCAGAGTGCCCCAAGGTTTCGTTCTAGGATGGGTTTTGTTCAATATCTTTATTAATGACCTGGATGAGGGGATGGATTGCACCCTCAGCAAGTTTGCAGTTGACACTAAGCTTGGGGGAGAGGTAGATACACTCAAGGGCAGAGATAGGATCCAGAGTGACTTAGACAAATTGGAGGATTGGGCCACAAGAAATATGATGAGGTTCAACAAGGACAAGTGCAGAGTCCTGCACTTGGGACGGAAGAATCCCAAGCATTGTTTCAGGCTGGAGACTAATCAGCTAAGTAGTAGTTCTGCAGAAAAGGACCTAGGGATTACAGTGGAAGAGAAGCTGGATATGAGTCAACAGTGTGCCCTTGTAGCCAAGAAGGCTAATGGCATATTAGGGTGCATTAGGAGGAGAATTGCCAGCAGATCCAGAGATGTCATTATTCCCCTTTATTCGGCTCTGGTGAGGCCACATCTGGAGTATTGTGTCCTGGTCTGGGCCCCCCACTACAAAAAGGATGTGGACATATTGGAGAGGGTCCTGCGGAGGGTAATGAAAATGATTAGGGGGCTGGAGCATATGACCTATGAGGAAAGGCTGAGGGAGTTGGGTCTGTTTAGTCTGCAGAAGTGAAGAGTGATGAGGGATTTGATAGCAGCCTTCAACTTCCTGAAGGGAGGTTCCAAAGAGGATGGAGAGAGGCTGTTCTCATTAAAACAATCAAATTAAACTTATCTAAATATACAAAGAGTAATACAACAATATTCACTTTTTGGTGGGCTGGAGATCCTTTTCTGTTTAGGCATCCAGAATACCACCCCTAGCTATTACCAGGGTGTACCAGCAACTTTCACCTTTGATTATGATTGTTAAAGAGTTATGACTATTTAATAGCAAAAGAGTATACAAAACTTAATAATATAATGACCACAGTAGTTCAGAGCAAAAGTCCATCTTGCCTAGTACTCTGTCTTCTGATAGTGGTCAATGGCAAGTACACCAGAGGGAGTGAACAGAACAGGTAATCATCAACTAATCCATTCCCTGTTACTCATCCCTAGCCCTGACAAACAGGGGACAGGGACACCATACCTGCCCATCCTGGCCAATAGCCACGAATTTAACTAAGACTTTTTTTTAACCTTGTTAAAGTCTTGGCCTTTACAGTGTGCTTTGACAAGGGATTCCACAGGTTGACTGTGCAATGTGTGAAAAAATGTTTCCTTTTGTTTCTTTGAAATCTGCTACCTAAAAGAAGACTCTGTACTCTGTACTCTATTTTGCCTAAATGTACAATCCAGTCAATTTAGATATTATATGCTCCTTCATATCATCTTAGATTCAAAACTGATAGCTCTGTGCAGTGCTGTGATATTTTAATTAAAACTGATCAAAAATGGAATTTCAACACCCATACGCGATATCAATATTTGGATTTTGTTCCAAAATATTTTTAAAAAATCTTTTCAATCTTATGCAAACAAAGTTACAGTAAATTCCCATGAAAATGTTGACAACCTATGTGAAAGGCTTTGACTTGTCTGAATTAGCATTTTCATGAAGCAAACCATTCCCTCAAACGTGACTGGCTCAAATTCTGATGATGGCAGCTCTGGTTTCAGGGGGAAAAAAGCATGTTTACTCATATATGAATTTTACCTGTCATGGCTGATAAACTTTATATTCTATTGCCCTTTGCAATATACCACATTCCAGGTTAGCTATCAAATGGAAAGGATGATGAGGAAATAATTATCACGTATCTAACGTTTTATACTTAAAACACTATTAAATCTCACTATGGGTATGTCTACACTACAGCGCTAATTCGAACTAACTTAATTTGAATTAGTTAATTCGAACTAAGCCAATTCGAATTAGTGCATCTAGACCTAAAAATTAGTTCGAATTAGCATTTTGCTAATTCGAACTAGCATGTCCACACATAGTGGACCCTGAACCGAGGTTAAGGATGGCCGGAAGCGGTGCTGGCAGGGCATCAGGTTAGGACTTAGAGCGTGGAGCTGCTGCCTCAGGCTAGCCGAGGGCTGTGCTTAAAGGGACCCGACCCCCACCCCGGACAGACAGTTCTCAGGAGTTCCCCGCTTGCAAAGCAGTCCTGGCTTGGAGTGCCCTGAGTGCCCACACTCGGCACATCACAGCACTCGGCCATCAGCCCGCCTGCACTTGCCGCAGGCTGCCATCCGGCGGGGGGTGTCAATCAGGGGGCTGCAGGAGAGCTTCCACCCCGAGAAGCCCGCAGAGCCACCCCAGTCCTCCCTATCGGGGGCTCGTACCCCATTCCTCCCTCACCTCCTTCCACTTACCCCTTGCTAGCCCCCCTTCCTGAAGTACAAAATAAAGGACACATGTGTTCAAAAATAGAAACTCTCTTTATTGAACAAAACTCGGGGAGACTGGGAAAAGGAGGTGGGAGAGGGGAAGAGAGAGGGTGGGAGAGGGGAGGGCAACTAAAATGATCAGGGGTTTGGAACAGGTCCCATATGAAGAGAGGCTAAAGAGACTGGGACTTTTCAGCTTAGAAAAGAGGAGACGGAGGGGGGATATGATAGAGGTCTATAAAAGCAAGAGTGGTGTGGAGAGGATGCATAAAGAAAAGTTCTTCATTAGTTCCCATAATAGAAGAACTAGAGGACACCAAATGAAATGAATGGGTAGCAGGGTTCAAATTAATAAGAGAAAGTTGTTCTTCAGAAAGCAAATAGTCAACCTGTGGAACTCCTTGCTGCAGGAGGCTGTGAAGGCTACAACTAGAACAGAGTTTAAAGAGAAGTTA